TAATGTGTATGGTGGAATACATGAGGTCCAGTGGGAGATGGGAGGGCATGGATGGGGAAGGGGACCTATATTTGATTAAGAATTGTTGTATAAAATTACAAAATCTCAATAAAAAACTTTAAAAAAAGAAAGGAAGCCTGCTCTACTGACCTTTGAGTTTAGCTCAGCAGGCCTGACTCCTGACTTACTGAACTATAGGATAATCTGTTTTATTTTAAGCCATCAAGGCTGTGGTAATTTGTTATGGCAGAAATAGAAAGTCAATACAATGCTTATTTCTGCAAGAATAATATCAAGAGCAACAAAAGAACAAGCAAAGAAACTATTCTAATTAGTAAGATATCTACAGATTTGCAAGGGCAAGTTATAAAGGTAACATTTCTGTATAGTCAGAGTAACAAATTAGTAAATAGAAAAAAAAATTAAGAATTTACCTTCTATACAGAACAAACTAAATACCTAGGAATTATATAATGTCCCTGTGAAGAAAACCTGAAAATCCTGGCAGGGACGTAGAATATGATCTGCTAAACCTGGGATGTATTAATAGTATTACAAATATATTATTTTCCTGAAATTATCAGGAAGTTTAGTTTTTCATAATCAAAATTCCAATTGGAATGTTTGAGAAACTCAATAAAATTACTCTAAAATAAAACATAGAGAAAGACCACAAATAGTTAACTCATAAACAGGAAAGCTGCCAGACTAACATTAAGAAGTGAAAGCAGGGAAATTCTAACAATAGAACATCCCAGGGATGGATCTGATCCAAGACATGGGCTGTTTTCAATCCTGATCAGAGAAGCCTCTTTTTGCAGTGGGCTGCAGTCAATGCAGAGATGCACAAGTGGTCAAAGTGTTAAGAAGAGATGGAGTGCTCAGCCCTAAGTGGGACATCCTTACTACCCTCTTACCAGCTAGAGGCAGTGTAAGGAGTGTAAGATCTGGAGGATGAGAGGAGTGTTGTAAAATGTTATCTTTTTGATGTGACATGGCTACCATAGTCAAGAACTCACAGTAGCTGTGTTATCTGCACAAGACCTACACAAGATCAAGCCAGCCAAAGGTCCCACATAGACAGGATTGATGATTTCCAGGCCCCATTCTTTACTAAGGAGCTATTGGCAATTGATAGCTACTGGGGAAGGGAAAATCATTCTGCTTTGAGGGTGTGGTCACTGCTATGTTTCCCATGTCCTAATAGATGGCCCCACACACCATCCATTAGTGGCAGCACTAATTGAGCTTAGTGGGTTATCCAAAGAGTAAACAAACAAAAACCCATGTAATTATAAGGTGGAGGGAGGTATTGAAGAGGATGTGGAGGAGTTGGAGGGTATAAGTGATCATATTTCATTGTATACATGTATGAAATCCTCAAAGAATAAAACAATTAGAAAAGCTCAATTCAAATATGCTTTAGCAATATGCAAACAACATCAGCGTTAGCAAGGATGAAAAAAAAGGCACTCATACTCTTTAGGCAGAAGCGTAAGTGGTGTGACTTTGGAAAATGCTACAAAATTACTTTATAGTCCCACAAGTGCAAAACCTGACACAGGGTAAATCTATTCTCACTCTAGAACACATGCATTAGCAGACATATTCTAAAGGTTCATTTTTGCTTTATTTAAGTCTATGTGTGCATGTGTCTCAGTGTGAATATGCCCACACACATGTAGGTGCCCTGAGAAGCCAGAAAAGGACATCTGATCCTCAGGGGTTGGAGTTACAGGCCACTGTGTCACCTGACATGAGTACTGGGAATCAAACTCCAGCCTTTTGGAAGAGCAGTGTTCTCTTTTGAGTTCTCTTTTCTTTGATAGAACACAGACCAAATGCAACTTGTGGAGGAAGGAGTTTATTTCATTCTTACATCATTGAGAGAAGCCAAGGAAGGAACTCAAAGAAGGAGCCTGGAGGAAGGAGCCACAGAAGAGTGCTGCGTCCCAGCTTCCTCCCAGGTTCACCTTCCGCTCACTTTCCTGCATAGTCCAGGCTCCCTTGTTTGGGGATGGTACAGTCCACAGTGGGCTAGGGCCTCCCACATGAATTAGCAGTCAAGAAAATATCCCACAGACAGGCCCAGAGGTCAATTTGATGGAGGTAATTCCTCAACGGACCTTTCCTTTTCTGGTGTGTCAAGTTGACAAACAAGACTAGCCATCACAAGCAGCAAATAAATGTTCTTAACCTCTGAGCCATCTCTCCAGCCCCAACATAGTCTAGAACATTCATAACAACATTGTTATTAACAGTTAAAGTATTAATAATATAAATGACCATCAGTAGTAGAAAGGATAAAGAAATCTATATACATTTCTGCATTGGAATACTGTCCAATAAATGGGACAAATTTCAAACATGTGATGTCAGTATTGGATAGATACCACAACATAAGCAGATAAACAAGTTATGGAAGAATACATAAGTATTAAATCTATATAAACAACATTAAACAAGATAAAATGAACAGTGTCTTGTTTGGAAATGCATACATGAAAGCAAAAGAATTGTGGGAACAAAAGTCATTGCAGTGGCTACTTCTAGGTTACAGCAGGAAAGGAAATGGTCAGGGCATTTTTAAAGTCTAATAATATCTTATCTAGTTTAATAATATCCTATACTAGAGGCACAGGTACTGTTCCCTTCATTATTGAAATAAATGATTTTTATACACTTATGTGTATTTTTCAATAAAATGACTTTATATGATTGGATTGGACCATCTTTTAGATTATTTTTATCTTTGAAAGTCTATGGCCAGGCTCTTAACTTGAAATATTGTTGATCCCTCATTAAGAGTTGAATATGAACGATGTGCACTGAGATTCACACACAGGTGAACTGGACAGGAAATTCTGAAGGGAAATAGGGATACATTAACTCAGAACAGGTAAGAAGGAAGAGGACCTGATGCTGATTCTGGGAGGCAACTGGGATTTTGTTTTAAAATTTTTTATTGAATTTTTGTGTATTTCATATGGAACATGTTAATCACTCTTAATCATCTTTATACCCCTTTCTCCACTGGCAGCTGTATTAGTCACTTTTTCTGTTGCTGTGATAGAAACACTGACCAAAGAAACTTATAGAAGGAAGAGTTTATTTAAGTTTAGTTTTCCAGGGGAACTACAGTCCATCATAGTGGGGAGGCACGGTGGCACGAGGTGGCTGGAACAGGAGCAGAAAGCAGAGAGCTCACATCTTCAAGCTGGTACAGGAAGAGAGTGACTCCAGATCCAGCAAGGCTTAAGCACTCTCTAAGCCTGCCCCCAGTGACGTGCTCCCTCCAGCATAGCCACACCTTTTAAGACCTCCCCAAACAGCACTACCAACTGGGGACAAAATGTCCAAAAGCTTGGAGCCTACGGGGGATATTTTCATTCAAACCACTACAGCACCCTCCCAAGAAGCTCCCCGCCTCCACTGGATTTCATACATTCTGTCTTTGTACATTTGCATTAAGGTCTATCATGTCAAGTTAGTGTTTCCAGATGTCCTTTAGTGAAAGTTCATCCACTGGGGTCTAGGCAGCCTATCTAGATTCACTTCCTTTTAGAAGATCCGCTCTTCCTCATCCAGCAGTAATTAGCTGCTAATAATTCATTGACTAATATTGGGGCCTGATCCCCATTTCCACAGTTCTGTGCTAGAGTTTTTGTCTGCTTGAGTTTGCATAGGCCTTGTACATGCTGATAGCATTGCTGTAGGTTCACATGAGCAAGGTCCCAGGAGCTTGTAGGACTCTATTTCCAATAGTCGTGGGCTTTCTCCCTGGATCTTACAATATTTTTTCCCCTCTTCCACAGTGGTCCCTGAACCCTGGGTGGGTGGAGTTTAAAATAAGTCTGTCCAAGGACTCACACTCTTCAGATTCTTTCTTTCCATGCATTGGCTATTTGTGACCTTTTGTGTTGCTGGCCCCCTGTTTCATGAGGGAGCTTCATTGATGGGAACTGAGAGATTCATTACTGCCTTTTCTACCCCTTGTTCATGTTCTTTGAACCTTAGGTCTACTGCCTTGTAGACATGCCACTTAGGCTTGGGTAATTCACAATATCTGTGTGTGACCAGTTGTGGAACCCTCTAATATTGCCACAGGCCTTGATTGCCTCCCAGAACCTGAGGGCAAGGCCCTATTGCTGAAGACAGATCATACTTCAGACACAGGATTTGGAGCAATGGAGCTGGAATTAACCTGGAAGCCACCTCCCCTGAAGGCTAGCTGTCATAGCTTTGGAGCACACTATGAAAGCTGCTAAGAGAGAACATCAATCAGTGGTCCAACCCAAGCTTTAGGGCCTAATAAGCACAAAAATGATTGGCACAGCAAATGATGGTGCAGTTGTGGCACTTTTATCATGGGGTTAATCAACAGCTGCTTGATTGGACTTAAAGCACACTCAGTGGGAGGAAACGCATATGTGGTACTGTACACATAGCCAAATACATATGCCTGGAGAGGTCTTGGATCTTAGAGAAAACCCCAAGGCTGTGTGACATCCCTAGACAAATGTAATTTCTTACTATGTGAAAAATATAGATCCTTATATTTACAGACAAGTGTCCCAGTAACCACTCATCAAAGACACTCCTTTTGGCAACTGAGATTGTATTTGAAACCACCCAGCTTCCAGTTCAGTTTCTGCCTTTCCTTAGGCAACTCTCTCAACTAATTCCTTCATATTGTTTTTGTAAATTATATCATAAAACTGAAACTTAAAGAGTTTTAATAACTAGTTCACAGTTGGGGAAACTAGGGTCAAGACTAACGTCATTTGCCCACAGTGCCAACATCACGTTTTAAGTCAGGGTTCCCAGTCCGGCCCGTGGTCCAGTTCCTTTTCCTGTGCCCACAACTTAATGTCACAGAAGAGCTGGCCAGGCCCACCCCGCCCCCACCTCACCACTTCCTAAGGTCCGCCCCCTGCCACTGGACCTGGCAGGCCCCGCCTGGGAACTTCCCAGCTTCCAGTCTCTTCCGGCCCGCCCCTTGCTGCCTTGACAACACTCTGCACTCCAGGTTCAGCCGCAGACCAGGCTGGACTTCCGCCCCGGCCTGGGGGCCACAGCTGCCATCAGCACCTCGTCTCCTCCCCGTACCCCTCCTGCCCAACATCTCCCCGCCGCATCGGGGCCGTTGGCCGGAGTCCCTCCCTGCCGCCCCACTCCGCCCGGACCCGGATGCCGAAGGTGAAGGCGCTGCAATGCGCCCTGGCGCTGGAGATCCGCTCGGTGCGTACCGGCCTGCCCCGCCCGGCCTCCTCTGGAAGCCTTCCTCCCATCCCCGGAGGATCCAGTCACCTCCGCCCCTTCCCCTGAAATCTCGGTACCCTACCACTCCACCGCCGAGGTCTGGCCCTCCGCAGTCCCCCCCCAGCTCCACCCCCACTTCACTTGAGTGTTTTCACTAACTTCCACCCCACTTCAGAGCTCTGCCGCTTCCAGCTTTCGAGTGAGTTGGGCCGTGGTGACTCCTCCTTTGCTTGTGTTTTCGTGGGAGGCTGTTGGACCCCTGCAGCCTGGGTGTGGGCGGCATTTCCGCAGATGGCTGCGGCGTACCCCTTCTGACCCCTTCCCAAGCTTTCTGTGAGCGGAGGGCCCCTTTGTCAGTCTGAGAGTCTCCACCTCTCAAAACGGGAGTGTGGCATCCTTGCACAAAGTGCCTCAACTCCAGGAGCCCCTTCAGCTCTCCTGCAGTCCCCAGCCCTCCCGACTTTGAGAAGGGTCCGTTGTCATCCTTTCAGTCACTTCGCGAAAGGCCCCGTCAGCTTTTCAGGACAGCTCCGACAAGCTTACTGGGCCACCCGGTCACCACCGACTCGCCCTGCAAGGAGACCGACCTTTCCCAGCCTCGGGAGGAAATCCAGCTGAGGCCCGCAACCCGACCTGGCCTCCAGGGAGGAGCTCTGGCCTTTACAGGTGGTGAAAATCCTCCATCTCGTTTAACTGCAGAGATTCTTCCGAGTTAAAAATAACAAAACAAAACAACAAAAACCCAAAAAACAAAACAAAAAAAACTCCTTCCTCTTCTCTCCTGAGAGACCTGTCTTTATTTAACCTCTTAGAGGAATGCTCCAGCTTTCTAGAGGACCCCCTTCCAGTTCCTTAGCTTTTCATATTTGCATCACGAGCTGTCTTTTAGCTACTTTATAAAGTAAGGTTAGTTTAGCAAAAGAATGCATAGGGATTTCTAAATGTGCTAGATCCAGGGCAGTTAGTAAAATTCTGGACTTCAAGCCTCTATAAACTTTGTAATTTGCTGCTGCGTCCTGCCTTTGCAGCCAATGGGTTTAGCAACATGGGAGAGCCACCGCCTGACTGGCCATTCCGTTGCCAATAGCTTGCTTGGAAGAAGTACTCTGTTGTAACTGACTGTAGCCCTAGCCGAAGGAGTCAGAGACACTTTATTTCACTGCTGCTTTCTCAGTATAAGTTTTACTGCAGGAAGTGGATAGCCATGTCGTCGAATTATGCTGATGGAAATATTACTATTTTTTGAGTCACAAAATTTTATACCTTCAAGGAATCTAAGATGTTGCATTTCATCTCTTTCACTGTTTTGGGTGCAGATCTACAAGTTATTTTCTGACTAGCAAAAGTTCTTGAAATGACTCATGCTCAGAAGGAGCAAAATGGCCATCAGCAGCCACACAAGCTAAATGAGCTTGATTAATTTGGCTTTCATTGAATGGAGGAATCATGACAAAAATGTTTTTAGTATCTGTTTTAGTCTTGGTTTTATCTTTTTTTACATTTACACTAAAGGTAAATGTAAAAGTCCAAACTATAAAAGAATACATGCAGAGAAGGTTTGCTTTTAAGCTCCATCTATCTCCTCACACCCATCTTTACCTAACTCCTAGCTTTAGGTTACCATTGTCTTTGTAATGATATAAACAGATACACTCTTATACATAGCTTATCTATTTATTTTCTTACATAGTAGGCAGCACATTACATAAACTACTCCACCGTGTTCTATTTAATATGTCCTGGACATCACTCTATATCAGTGAAAATTGACATCTTGTTTTCTGGCTTTATGAATTTAAAATTTTCAAACATACAGAGTAATTCGAAGAGTATTTAATGGATAATTCTTGTCTATGGCCTGTGTACATTAATTTATCATATATATGCATATCATATAAATGCATGTTTATATACAAAATAATTTTTTGTTGAAAATTGAATGTAAATTTCTGACACCACTGCTCTTAAGTATTGCTGCATGCATTTTCTAAAATAAAAATATTGTAT